CTTTGATGTGTGTTTTTGATATTGTCTTTCTACCCCCATATTGTGCGCTATTTCTCTCTCCTGGTGCAGCTCAGTTCATTTCATTGCAATGCACTTCTTGGGATCGGCTCCCAGGAAACATAATTTTTCAGATGTGGCTATCTGTGCTGGTAGACCATATGCCTTCTGGGGAAACTGGATAAGTTACTTGTGCTCAAATGGGCCAGCTGAAAGCAACCCAAAGGTTTAGTTGCAGAAAACTGTGTGCTATAAGCATTTGCTACATGTCTTGACGTGTCATTGAATGAACAGAACCCAGGCTAGAAATGGTTGCTATTTACCTAGATTTTTAGAGAGAAGTTACCTGCTTATTTTGTAACTCATTGCTTTGTTACGTTGCTTGTTGTCCAATTTTGATTTCTTCCTCAAATACCACTTTAAGCTTAGTTTTCCAGTAATTGCAAAACTGGTATAAATTACTGAGATTGAGGAGAGAGGTTCAAGCATATGATCATAGGATACAAGACCCTTTGTTCTATGAGCTGGGCAGTAGCTCCAGGCCATCCAAGGCTTAACCCCAGAGAGTTTGACTGATTTAAAATTAATTGTATTATAACTAGTTAGCGTATTCCAGCAAAGACAAGACCTCTGCCAGGAACAGGAAAGAAAAACTCACCATTAAAATGACCTTAAATGGAGAAGAAAAAAATCCCAACAAAACAACCAACCCCAAAACATATTTGTGACCCACGTTGAAAGCTTCATTTAAGCTGCATGTAGTTTAGTTAGGGCCACAGAGAATGACAAATGGGACACTTGTCCTGGGTCTCGGAGGTCCTGTCTTTGGGAAGACTGAATTGTCTTAATGTGAGCATGACAGCAAATTGGCAGAAGAAAGGGTGAGGGGATCATAGTCCAATACTGTCTTGGGCTCTTTACAGCTCTGATGTGAACAGTCACAACAGAGGATGAATGCTGTTTCTTGTTGTAGGATTCACTGCCTTGAAGAGTTTGGGTAGATCATAAAAGTTTCTATAGCTCAGCTCTATAAAACAAGGATACTTCTCGAGCACATCTCGGACGATATTGGTCTGACTGTGCTATGATGTTTGGAAGTGCATGCTGGCACTGGTACTGACCACCAGATGCGAGTGGCTGTATTTTAATTACTTACAGACATCACTGCTTCATTGAACCACAACAATATCCCATTTAGGTGTTCCTGAAGTTATTCCCAGTAGCAGTCTCTGATCCATCCCTCCTATTAGCAGCGCAGTTAAACAAGGGGACGCTGTGCTCTTTGTGGCCGCATATATTCCATCTTAAGGACTTGATTGTTAGAAAACACAGCACCTGCAGTTTGCTACAGCAAAATATATACCCAGAAAACATGTGAGGATTTAGCTTCAAGGTTTAACTTCGTTGTATACAGCACCATCCAGAGAGCAGAGATACCCAGGCAGATCAACAGTAATGAAATATCACTGATCTAATTCATCAGCTGGTAATAAGCCTGGAGTCTCCCCAGGTTTATATTTCCGTAATTTTTTTTTAACTGCTAAGGGAGCCCATTAACAGCAAATAAACTAGTCCCAATTCCATTCCCGATATAACACTGCTGCCGTTCTAGGAGGAAGGTTGTAGCTGGCTTAATTAGACTTCCAATAAGCACTCTGCTAAGAAGGGATAGGGGTTTTTTTGGTTTTTCTTTTTTTGCAGGGCATGGTCCGCTCCCTCTGCATCTCTTGGCAGGAAGTTTTAATGCTAGATTAGAAATGCAAGACCTCTCTCCGGGTCAAGAAAAGCATTATCTTTGAATATCAGGGTTGTTGACTAAAACAGATTGGAGGCGTAAATAATACAATGAACTAGTGAGTGGACTTGAGCATTTACTCCGCCACATGATGCCTCAGAAAGGAGGATGAAGAGCTGGATATGACTGGTGCTTGATCAAAATAGCCCCCGGTCAAAATACAGAGACACAAAGTCAGCATTCTGCTGCATCCCATCTCTCTGTGTTGTTCCTCCCCAGGCAGCACGGTGGAGGGAGTAAATCTGATTTCTGATGGACCTGACCCTGGCGCGGTGCGCAGTGCTGCAGGCATTCGAGCCCAAGGGCAGTGCCAGTGTGCAAACACCGCTGTGGCTGAACAGCTCAGAAGGAACTGGAAACAGGCTCCCACATCCAATAAGTTATTCTTCAACTTCTCTCTATTAAGTGCTGTGCTCAGTACGCCTGCCTTCTGTTAACACCCGCAAGTTGGTTTTGGTGGGAGCAGCACTGGGTCTAAGGTGAAAGGTTAATATCCCTGGCTGCAGTTAACTTTTTTTTTTCCTCCTCATGATGATTCAGTGCAAGACCTGTAGCATCCCCTTCTAATTACGGGGAGTGGCTGAAATCAGACAGCAGAAGCAATGTGATTTTTTTTTTTTTTTTTTAAGTGGAAGACAGTTTTCTGCGCTGAAATACCCAGTACCATTTCTACTCTGGCTAAACCACTCGGGGAGCGTTTCAGCTTGTCATTATGCAAGGGGCATACTCTGACCACAGCTTCCAGCACGCTTCTTGTTTGCTTTAAAAAACCCCACACAAAACAAACATGGCTGGAAAGGAGATCCTCTCTTTGCCCACAAGGGCTAACGTGTCCTGATCGTATCCAGGAGGTCTCCAAAGTTCGTGAAACATTTGTATTCTGTAGTTCCTGCCTTGTGCTACTCCGCTGACTCTGCTGTCTGTCTGCAAACAAAAGATGCTGCCTGGTCCCACCCGCTGGATAAAATGCTTTTCCTTTTGCGTTGTCGTCACTGATGATTACAGGGATCCTACTGAGGTTCGGGAGTTTTAATGTGCAACTGTTTCCTGACGGGCAGGCTTATTTTGCGTGCATGTAGGGACGCTCCCAAGGCTTTCCTTTAAAGTTGGCTCGGATAATTCTTCTAGTATTTATGAAGCCTAGGGGAGTCATTCAAATGAGCAAATGTGAGAAAATGGACCACTGAAAAGTACAGATTAATGACAAATTAGCTAGGTAATCTGGTGGAGAATTAATTGAGGAAGAACAACTTAACTGTTGTAAGATGAACTCCATAGAATAAGTTATCTTTTCTAATGGACGGAATTAGGGAGGATGTCTCTCAATAAAGTGGGCCTGATATGCAGGTGGGGTCTTAAATGGGTGAAGCTATGGAAACCCCCTGCGGACTGTACATGTAAGGCAAAGTGGTAAGGCTGTGCTTGGTTTGTTCCGACAGGTAGACACAGGTTAATTTTGGTCTATGTTTAGGCTTCACAGCGTGAGTAAACGTTTCTTGTAAAAGCAATGCATTACTTGTAAGATGAGACCTCCCTGCATCACTTTGCTGCTAGGTCTTGGCTGAGAAGCAGAATAATATAGAGAAGTGTTTTCAAAAGGATTTTCAAGTGTTTGGGTTAAGAGTCCTACTGTATTGGATATAAAATTGCTTGTTTCAACAACAGCAGTAATAGAACAAACCACCCCGTGCTCTACGTGACACAGCGGCACAGATTGCTATAAAGATTAGACGACAGGAGATGACTTTCTTCTGGCTTCTGATGCAACCTTAGCCTTCAGAACAGGGAAGAAATGCAAACTGCTCCATCCCCAGGGCTGGGACCTGTTTGTTCAGCCTTGGACTACTGCCCAAAAGCAATGCTAGGCAGAGGCACTGAGACTTCCACGTCGGAGCTGTTCACCGATTTAAATTTCTTTTACTTTAAGCCTGGAAGGGACTGTTGCGGTAGAGATGCAAATGCAGGGCTTGAGTCCCAGTCTCTCTGTAATGCTCACCTCTGTTCTTGCTGCTGTGTAACTCTTTAAAAGGCATCTGTTCTTGATGCAAAAATAGCAATGTTGAATCCGGCACACCTTGCATGACGTGCCAGGGCAAGACTTTTTGACGGTGAAAGTGTACTCATGACATGCTGTCTGCTTGGAGTGGTAGTTGTGATTACCAAAAATTAGGGGCTGCTTGCTTGTGCCTGCACCAGCTCCCTTCTCATGTTTGGCAGTTGCCAGTTTTGTTTTATAAAAGGTGAAAGGGAAAATTCTGCAGTTTGTTAACAAAAACATCCACTTTTCTTCCCAAGGGCTAGCCATACACATTAGCACCTTCTTTAATATATCATCACAAAACTGGATTCATGCATGAGCAGTGTGACCCTCCTAATATGCATGAAAGGAGTAGGTGAAGTAAAGAGGACCAACGCAATTCAAGCTAGAGGCAGAGAATTAGTTGGAAAGCCGTGCACCAAGTGTTTGCTAATTGAAAGTAAAAGCAAGTGTTAGAAAATAGGTGTCTCAAAACCATGGGACACACAGGCGCTTGAGCATCCCCATCTCAAAAGGAAAGTAAGACTGGCATCTATAGGAGGAGAGGTGGTAGGTACAGTTAGCTTCAAATGATATTTGATTATTTTTGATAGCACTTACACAGCGTAGAGCATGAAACTTCTCGGACAAGGCTCAAGGCTGTTGCTCTGGAAGTCCTGAACTTGGCCTGATAGCAAGAAAAGAGAGCAGGCTGTTTGCACCCAAACATCACCACCCCTTTGCTCCTAATCCTGCCTAGAACGTTCCCTTGTCTCAGCAGGGCTTAACCTGGGCTTTCTCATCTAAACATGTTCACTAAGCCATTGGCTGCTTCAGCTGATTAAGCCCACGTCTCACTTATTGAGCGTGGCAGCAGGAGGACGCAGTGAGCTGCTGCGCTCATATGCCTGCCCTGGATGCCAGAGGATTTCTGGTTTGTCAGCGGCTGAAGGACAGACGTTGATCTGGATTGCAGTTGACGAGAAACTGTGCTGTACACTGACGGGCACAAACGGTGGCCTTGGAAAGGCAGCGGGAGGGGACGCAGGCTGGCTCCACACACAGCCTTTGTGTCTGGGGAGGTCTGAATCAAACAGGGCAGTGATTCAGTGTTGGTGGGGACAGCTTCAGCCTCTCCAAGGAATACTGTATAAAGACGATGCTTCCCTCCCCACCTCTGTGTTTCAGGTCTGGCAAGAGGATTAAGAAGACCAGGAAGTACGACATAATCACCACTCCAGCTGAGCGGGTAGAAATGGCTCCTCTGAATGAAGAAGATGATGAGGACGAAGACTCAACAGTGTTTGATGTGAAATACAGGTATTGCTGTGAGCCCGTCCAGTTAGGCTTGCTCACTGAGCTCTTATTAGTGAAGACAGCTCTTTTTTCCTCTGCTGGGCCAGTGTGGCAGAGATGAGGCAGTCACAGTCTCTTTCACTTTGCCCAAGCATTATCACTCTTCTTTACAGTCCCTCTGCCTGGTTTCTCAGCACACATTGCTCTATACCCTCGTGCTCTTGTAATAACCGCATCGCTACCCCTAGGCTGTCTGCCCTCCTCTTTCCTCTGCAGAGCAGCACAATGGGATACACGCGCCCCAAACAGCTAACAAGGTTTAACAGACTGAACTTCCCCTCTCAGGCAGCTGTTGGCAGTCGTTCCTGTGCACTCTCAGTGTCTACGCACGCACTGGATGGAGGGCTGTGGATCAAGGGCTGCTTTCCCAGGCGCTGCCGTTGCCGTGAGCCTGGGAGGGAAATGATGGCGAATCTCCACCAACCTCTGGGTTTGTACCAGAGTGCTCTCATGTTGTTCTGTGACGGAGAGAGGACTGTGGTCCCTTGCTGATGTTGTTAGCAGTTATCCCTTAGCAACAAACTTTCCTTAAAAGTGTTTGTCTTTTTGAGATAGAAGCAGTGTGACAACCCAAAACTTTTGGTGCCTATTCTGGGCCTGAGATTTATAGCAACCACTCAGCACATAAAGATGCTCCACATTGATTTATGGTGTCAGGGTATCTGCATCTCTTATTTTTATTTGCATCAAGCCATCCACAGCATTTGAGTTGCATTCTTATCCAAATAAGGCCTACTTTAAAATCTGTCTCACTTTGGCTGAAATAAGCTCTCCTAATTATAAAAACACAGATCTTGACAACTCCTAACTGGAGATTTTTACAGACTTTACTCTTGTTGCCCATCTCCTGATTTCGGAAAGGGGGGACTACACATTTGCTCTAAGCACGTGTGTGCCAGCATCTAAAACACATACCACCGCACGCTCTGTTGGTCGTTTTCAAAATAACTGCGTTATTTCCCTATCAAAGTCAGGCAATAGTTGGAAGCCATGAAACAATGAAGGGTGTGAGTCGTGCCTTTATGCATAGATATTTAGTTCTTGAATTAAGAGACTCCTATCAGTCCTTGCATGACTGTTGCCATTCTCTGTAGCTGCCCTGTGTTTGCACTAATCATTTCAGCTTGTGCAGTTTTTACTTTGGGACTAAGCTTTGTTAAACTCAGAGATCTGTCTCGCCATGGCCTACTTTAACAGCCCGTGTCTCCTGCCCCTTTTCCTCTTAACTGAGTACTTTCTCTGTGAACTTTTGGTAGCGAGATCAGAGGGGTTTTCCAAAGACTGAGAACAGAAGATTCTCAATCATGGCAGTGCTTCAGGGTAAGATGTCTAATAATAAAATACTAGGTGAACAAAGGAGAGAGCTTGCTGGAAACCATCTAACTCATGAGAGCTGTGGTCATGTTATCTGACGTTGCTTCCCTGGAGCACGTACTGTGCTGATGCTTTCACAAAAGCTTCATGGGTTCCTTAGCAGTACAAATGGCTCTTCACCTTGTGTGATGGTCTGTTCAGAGGCCATAGGGATTTTTGGTTCTTAGCCAGCCAGTCCTCTCTTCAGCTGTGGGAATTCCTCCTTTCTGCCACAGTGCAACAGTGGCATTTCCACGTTTTCTGAAGTCCTCGCAGTTTCAGACATACATTTTTTTAGCTCAGACAGAACTACCTCAGTTTAGAGGGAGAGATCGTCTTACAGACAGCCCCTTAGCAGAACTGATTTTGGGAAAGCTGCTTTGAGGATACATTTTCTGTAAAAGGTATCAAGCTCTCTGGTTCCTTTGTGCAGCTTGAAGACTACATCCCCAAACAGTTCCTATCTCCTGTTACCAGTAAAGACACTTCTTTGCAAATTTGAATTGCTGAGTTTGACCATTGACATCCCCATTAAACCAGTCAGGAGGTTCTTCATAGGGAAGAGAGGGCTAGAGCTGCAGAAAGGGCATCTTGGACGTGCACGCAGTAAGTCAGTGAACTAACTTCTACCAGGTCTTCCATTGGGGTTCCTTCCCCTGCCCTGCCCCCTCCCCCCCCCAAAAAAAAAAATTGACATTCAGGAAGTAGTTGCCTTGTTCCATCTAAGGCTTCCTTTGTCTTTTGCAGCTGTGTGCAGATTCCAGGAAGACAGGGTAAGGAGACGTAACTTTGTCCCTCTCTGTGGTTAATGGAAGTTATGAATACATGTAGGTAGCTACACAACTGGAGCGATAGGTTTGTTTTGGATATTCACTAAGTGCCTACAGTTTTAAAAGAGCCTTCGTTAATTGCTAAGTCAGGAAAACTACTTCCGCTCTCCATTATCTCAAAAAAAAAAAAAAAAATTGTGCCGATGCATCAGGTGAACTTGCAGAGGTGTTGCTAGGGCTGATGCATGAGGACTCACCCTCAGTAAGTTTGCAGACGACACCAAGTTGGGCGGGAGTGTTGATCTGCTCGAGGGTAGGAAGGCTCTGCAGAGGGACCTGGACAGGCTGGATCGATGGGCCGAGGCCAACTGTATGAGATTCAACAAGGCCAAGGGCCGGGTCCTGCACTTTGGCCACAACAACCCCATGCAGCGCTACAGGCTTGGGGAAGAGTGGCTGGAAAGCTGCCTGGCGGAAAAGGACCTGGGGGTGCTGGTCGACAGCCGGCTGACCATGAGCCGGCAGTGTGCCCAGGCGGCTAAGAAGGCCAATGGCATCCTGGCCTGTATCAGAAATAGTGTGGCCAGCAGGAGCAGGGAAGTGATCGTGCCCCTGTACTCAGCACTGGTGCGGCCGCACCTTGAATACTGTGTTCAGTTTTGGGCCCCCCACTACAAGAAGGACATTGAGATGTTGGAACGTGTCCAGAGAAGGGCAACGAGGCTGGTGAGGGATCTGGAGAACAAGTCTTATGAGGAGCGGCTGAGGGAGCTGGGGTTGTTTAGCCTGGAGAAAAGGAGGCTGAGGGGAGACCTCATCGCTCTCTACAACTACCTGAAAGGAGGTTGTAGCCAGGTGGGTGTCAGTCTCTTCTCTCAAGTAACAAGCGATAGGACGAGAGGAAATGGCCTCAAGTTGCGCCAGCGGAGGTTTAGATTGGACGTGAGGAAAAATTTCTTTACTGGAAGAGTGGTTAAACATTGGAAGAGGCTGCCCAGGGAAGTGGTTGAGTCACCATCCCTGGAAGTATTTAAAAGACGTGTAGATGCGGCACTTAGGGACATGGTTTAGTGGGCATGGTGGTGTTGGGTCGATGGTTGGACTCGATGATCTTAGAGGTTTTTTCCAACCTTAATGATTCTATGATTCTGTGATTCTATGAATGGGGTGATACTGCTGTTTCAGCTTGTTAGCCAACTAAAGCAACACGTCATGAGTTGCAGCAACCTGGAAGCAGTTGGGGACAGAGGAGTGACAGGTGTCTTCTGACAAGTACCCATGGGCTAGAATATTCCGCACTCTCTCTTTTATCTATTTATTTTTTAATTCAAATGAAGGTGAATCCTTGCCAGCAGTCAGTATCAGTTGTGGCGGCTGTTTGGGTTTATTCAAGCAGCCTCCTAGCAGCGGCACTTACTTGGCTTATGGCATGACAGACTTCTGGCCCATCTGTGCTACCAAGTCTTGGCAAGGGGATTTTGACCAGGTGCTGCTTTGGTGACTGCACCATTACTGGCATTGCTTTCAGAGAGGCTAAACCTCATGCAGCCCAGTGCTACGGCAGGATCCACTGGTGCAGTGCCATGGCTGACAAGAGTCATTATTCTGATTTCCTTAATTCTTTATTTCTTTGCGACATGCTGGTACTGAAAGATAAGCCTATGGGCTTGACTGCCCATCATGCAGTGTTGTAACATACGTGCTGCCATATCTACATCAGAAACCAACTTTCCATAGCCATTTAAACCTAGAATTTTCAAAGTCTCCCTGGCTCCTGAATATCACATGAAATTAGCTGGAACCTTTTGTCCTGTTCATTTTTGATTTAAAGGCTGTGAAACTACGGGGAAAATGGTCCGTTCTCCATAAAGTCATGATTTGCAGTGGTGGTTGCTCAGTGCTTTCCACTAGAAAGGCACCAAAAGTATTTTTAAAATACAGGCTTCTGAGAAAACATGGGAATGGAGTGGAAAGGGAACCAGTTTTCCAAAGAGCAATGCAGTAGGGACATGTTGGCTGTGATGGACTATAAGCATTATTCAATTCAGGTGTTACTTATATATACTGTAAGACAATCCTATGCTTTCACATCTCTAGGGTTACCACCAGCTTGGCAGTAGGGAGAAATCTGAAGAGCTGTCCTGGAGTGCCACAACATTAGATACCTCCCGTGCATAATACTAAGTACATTACCCCAATATTAACGTACTCTGACTGATATGCGGGTGATAAGTAGAGTCTTGCTTTGGGTTTGTAGCATAAGTCTTTGCTGAGGATGATCTGGGTAGGCTCTGGGCTGGTTTGTTTGAGGTCCCCTCCCATCGTTGAAAGCTCTGTACTGGCACTTGCATCTGTGTTTGGAGGAGTAATTGAGATTCTGTGCTGTCTCCCCCATGCGATGCAAACAGCACTCTAATTAAAAGGCAGTTGGTGTCTAGCAGCAACAGGAGAGAAGTAACACATACCTCTCCAATTGTTCTCATGCACTTAATTTGCTTTCCTTTAATGCTTTGTCCTTGTGTGTATTTGTTTCCAGTCTTCCATGAGGCATCAAAGGGTAGCAGACAGTGTAAATTGGGCTGTTGGATGAAGGTTGTTAATTTTTTTAATTTTTTTTTTTTTTTTTCAGGACTTGATGGGGCTTCGGGCTCCTGGTAGATCCCACCCCCACTTCCCTTGGGCCATGGAGCAATGAGAAATAACCACCTTCCTCCCGTAAAGCGGGCTAATGAGACCACTTCAAAATCTTAACGAAACAGTCCTTTCTGTAGATGCAAAAGCCACCCACTGCCTGCCTCTGACAAATGCAGAAGCGTGCGTGCACTGGATTAGATGCCCCCTTTGCGATCTCATTTCAGTAGCAGCAAAGCAGTTCTGTCAATGGCTTCTCTAATCCTGCAAGCACAATTTCTGTGTGACAAGAGACTGAAAGTGTGTACCAAAGATTGTCACAGAGCAAAGATGCCAAATCACTTAGACATTAACACCTCCTTGAAAAGCTTCATGGAAACCATTTTTTAATATGGAGTATTGTTTTCTGTGTGCATTTGCTCTGCTGTTGAAAGAGGCATTTGGATAAAAAGTTCAGGAATTTTTCTGAAATTATTATAGAGCTACACAAAGAAAGCAAACTGAACGTGGAAAGGGTGTTTGTTTCTTGATCGCCAGTTCAACCTGTGCTGCTGAAGGCCAAAAAGTATCCCTGTCCAACTGATTTTTGGACCATATGAACTGTACTGGTCATAATTTTCTAGATGTCAGATACTTTTTTGTGTTTTATGATGGGATTACACTTGCTGCATATATTGACAAATGAGTTAGTGGAAAGCTAAATCCCATCCTCCCAGTGTGCTTTTTCTCATCCCACCAAAAGATCTTGATTTTAAGATTGCCCTCTCCTCCTTGCTGCTTTAGCACTTTCTTTCAAGAAGGCAAGGGAACGTTGCACAGGTTTCATGATCTTCTTCTTGATGGGGCTGAGCTAATGATTAATCAGGCAGTTGGCACTGTGTGGTACTCAAGAAGAGAGGAGCAAAGTAAAGTAGGTTACAGGCAAATGTCCCCGACAAACTGGTGTTAGTGTCCACACCCCATCACAGAGCACTCTGCTTGTTTTGTGTAATAAGAGAAAAGTGATAAAACAGCTGCAAAAAGAACCAGTTTCTGAAAAGGTAAATAAAATTGTTAGCTTATTAAGCTTATTAACTCCAGCATAGCTCATTGAGGGATTTCTTGTCAGCTTCAATGGAAGACTGAAAACAAGTACTGAATAATTTCTGTGGTGCCTTGCTCATGAAAGACTTTGAAAGCACTACAGTAATCTGGGATATCAGCAGTGTACCCTCTCCCTGCTGACTTGCAGCTGTTGGAGGCAGTGCGTTCTGCTCTTGCTATGCTTGCTGAGCCCAGCTGGGTGAATTTCATAACCATCCCTGCAGAGCATTTCGAGTCCGGGGTGATGTGTGCCATCTGAGAGCCCGGAGTTGGGGAAGAACTTGGAATTTAAATGCCAGAGTGGGAATTGTCCCAACCCTGATGTCAGGCTCCTAAATAAGTACTGAAAGAAAGTTTTTCTTGGGACAGATTGAAGCCTCCATCCTTCCCGTCGGCTAAGTGAAATTCCTCAGTTTGTTTTCCACACGAATTGTCATTTTTCCCTCTAACAGTGGCAGCACTAGCAAAATGCAGAAGCATTTTAGGAATGCATCTTCCAAAGTGCTCTTGAAAGCAGAAAGATTTATGTGTAAGGAGTAGTGGCAGGCAGAGGGAAGAGGAAGTAACATTTATTCAACCACCATGGGACTAAAGGGCTTTTGAGAGCTTGCAGGATGTTTTAGAGGAAAGATGCACTGTATGGAAAGGCTGGATTCTGGATTTTTCCCTTTTTCAGGCACTGATAGCATTGAACTGTGTGGAAACATCTTTATCACAGTTGCAGGGCTCAGCCTTTGATGTGCTCAAGTCTTTTGGGGGTCTCTGTAAAATATGAGCTACACTATCAGTGTCTTCTCTTTGAATACGTCCTTTCCAGATCCTGACTGTGTGCACAGCTCTGAATGGAGCATGGTATTGTCTGCTTGTTACAGCAAGGTGTTGACTCTCAAGGGAGCGGCTCTAATGGATTTTTTGCCAGCAAAAGCCGCAGGCCGTTCTGGATGATGCTAGGTGAATTGCGCTGGGGTTTGTAGCAGCTTAATTTAATTTTTTTTTCCAGCAGGCAGCAGTGACAAGTTGTGTCTAAATGGAGGGGTATCATTTATTGTCATCTGAACGGGGTGCAAATCACTAACACAGTCAGCTGCTTACTATAAATACAACAAATTGCCAAAGCTTTGGTGCTGCTGTTAAGGATTTCCCATGGGTCCACAGCAGGGGACGAAAGAGGTGGTCAAAAAGCATTTTTTTGTTTGGTTTTTGAAGGCTGGATTCTTTCCTCACTTGGCTGTAACAGTTGTTACAGAGCACACCACATTCTACTGGCTCGTTCAGTCGATTACATGCTGGCAGTGCAGTCCTACGGGAGGGTTCTCACCTCCTTCATGGAGTGTAACAAGTTCCTATTAAGACCTTTTTTTTTTGAACTCTGAAGCAGTTAAAGCAGTAGGGTGTCAGGAGGAGAATCCATAGCAAGGAGGATAGTCCATGCATGTTGGTTAGTAAGGGGCTGCACTGGTGTGGAAAAAGCTGTGAGGTCCAAGATGCTGTTTCACGTGTAGTGAAACAGCAGCCCCCCTGTGCACGCTCCCTTCTCTGGTCTGCGCAGTGGCTGGTCACAGGATCTCTCAGCATCTGGGTTTTCTCTGATATAACTCTGCTTTTTTCTTCTCTTGGTCTAGCTTCTCCTGGCATGGTGTTAACATCATGTCAGTGTCCAGTGTCACCATAGAAATCAACTGCTGGAGGGAACTGATGGCAATCACAGTGAATAATGCTGCCTTTTCCTTTGTGGCTTTTTGGGTTTTTTTCCACTTTGCACATGGGTTCTCATCTCTGCCTGTGAGCTATTTAATTGCAAATCTACAGCTGTACTAATCTTCCTGCTTTCCAGGTAAAGCAGCTCTGCGGAGCGTTGGTGCCCTACAAGATGTCATTCTGCTGTCGAGGGACCTGCTGAAGCCATAACTGTGAAAGGGGAGGCTTTCATCTCTGCAGTGTTACAACCAAACCAAGCCTCACCTCTTGAGGTGCTGTTTGTACAGCAGGCTATGGATCTTCTGACCAAAACGTCACCATTCGGTTCCCTGGTTTCCAAACTGCTGTGTTGGAATGACCAGAGTTCCTCTTTGCGAACTCAGCTCTCTCTTGCTTTAGGAGGGCTGCGGTGTCACTAAAGCATGACAAGATGCAGCCCTGTGTACCAACTTGCAGCTCATTATGGTCTAGATAAGTTTTGCAGAAGGAAGAAGACAAGGAAGATTGAACCAAGCTGCCCCAAGGACTTATTTTCTAAAATCCTAATTCAATACTTCAGTCACTGTTAAACTTTGGTCATTGTTAAACAGATCATGTGTTTAAAAAAATATCAAGAAGTGTATTTTTTGGGCCTTGCAGAGGTGACTTACGACTTTAGGTGGTAAAAGTGCAAGCCATGCTGAAATGGCACACTGTATGTTTAGTGTAGGATTTTTGGGGGAGGGGGTGAGAGGTTGACTCATGTAGAAAATTTTTTTGACTTGCTACTGATTTTTTTTTTTAAACAACAATTGCACTAAGCTTTCATGATGACATTCTCATTGTCCCAAGGAGCTCTGATCAGACCAACTTGTATAAACGAGACCACAGGGAAATAGGAAGAATCAGGCATGCCCTAAACTACAACAATCTTGGATTAAAGAAGATATATTTTTGTAATTTTCTGCCTTTCCACAGGGAGTAAAAACAGTGTTTTGTACTGTCCTGTGCTTACTGTAACTTGTCTACAATTCATCTATATTACCTTTTTTCTAAGCAAAGTAAGTCCTCATGTGGAATGGTTAGATTGTAGAAAGAACACCTCTTATTTTTCATGGAAGCTTCTTCATGTAAGTGATCCTAATCTGTATCAAACTGGAAGTTTTCCCCTACCACCCGCTTGACAAATCCCATTTAACTCAAGGACGCATTTTTAACCATCGCTCCCTGCTGTGCTTTGTGCTGCAGAGGTCAGAGCTGCGGGATGACACTAAGAGAATTAGATTGCTGCATCTGAATAGATTGGGTTTAGGAGACCACAAGCATGTACAGGTTCCAGGCCGTTGTTAGAAAGGGCAAACCTAACTGGTTTAGTTTTTTACTTTGTGGTTTTCCTTTAAAGTAACCACAGATGCAGTTCAGACTTCTCTTTGACATGTTTATTCTCTGTTTACTGCACCCCTTAACACCTTTTATTTTGGGTTTTTAGGATGGCTGGAACCCCGGTTTTCTTGGGGAATGCATGTCTTCCAATTGTTTTAGGATTGTCCCACTGTTTGCTTGACCCTCTACTAGCCTCCTGCAGTTACAATCCCTCAAGGAGACTGCAGAGTATCTGGCAAAGCACCATCCTTGCAGCAAGCTGCCAGTCTTGGGTTTTGGGTTTTTTTGAAGGCCGATTGGGATTTGAGGCTTGCTGAGAACACTGAACTGCTTTGTCATGATACCATGACCTATGCCAGTTCTGTGCTGTTCCCTTGGGCCCTGCAGTTAGTAAAAGGAGGTGAAGGGGAAATTTTTTTTTTTTCCCAGCAGCCTTGCGCTTTCCTCAAAGAAGCTCCCATAACACAGCTTGCTTTCCCTAGCCGTGACTCAGCAAAGGCTTTACAAACAGCCCACTCAGCCTGGATGGAAAAATCCCACAGCAGACTGTTGTGTTAATATTAGTCATCAAGGCAATATAAAAATGCTATGTTATTTTCATTCATGGAATGAATTTGAGTCATTCCGTATTACTGTTACTAAGCAATATTTAACGTGTCAGCTGCAAGGTGAGGATGGGGCTGAGCGGGCTGTATCCTGGCTGGTAGGAATCGCAGGGACCAGTACGTTGAATGATGCTGTGGGTTGAGATAAGATCTGGGGCTCTTTCCCCACCTAGGTAAAACAGGTTTCAGACTTAGGCTGGATGATTCTGAAGGAATACTGTATCTCTTCAGGACTAAAGTACTTCGAAGACCAGGAATTCAACTTCTTAGGCAGACTGAGTCCATTTGAAGTCAGAGAAGTGGCGATGCTGAGAGGAGAGAGAGAGGGAGGTTAAAAGCTTCTGTTTGCATTTGCAGAAGGAGGCAATGGAGTGAGGTGGCTGCCCTGTCTGAGCAGACACCATGGCAACACGTTCATGTCCACTCTTCTGCCAAACTCATTAAGCTGAGCATCAGGCACGCTGGAAGAGTGGTGGAAAGGGAATGAAACCTTCTCTGTGCACAAAAGAAAGGCGAGACCAAGTTATGTAGGAGAGAGGTGAGAGGAAAAGGTACATAAAGGATACTTCTCCTTTCTGAGGGTGAGTCAGTTCTTGAAATCAGGAGTTTTTCCACCAACTTCAGGTCACTTACTGAGTTAGGCTGGCAAAGGCCATCCACTTTTCCTTGCTTGTGGCTAAAAGATCCCACCGTTTCCACAATGTGGCCAAATCTCAGTGGGGGACAGGGACCAGGTATTTAAGATGTTGAAGATGGAGGTGCCCAACTGCTACTGGGATGCTCTGGCTCCTCGAGGAGGTCCCAAACCATGTGCCATAAGCTAAAAAGTACTTCTAGAGAAGCAGCAGCTGCTTGGTGGAAATAAAAGGCCAACCTCACCAGTTGCTCATGGTCATGAAAATAATCCGAATGCTTTGTTTGATACTCAGTTGCTGTTGCAAATGTGAGGCAATGTTTACCTCTACAAAAGTTGCTGTATGTGATTTAAAGTGTCTGGTTAAATATTCTATAGCTATATTTAGTTAAGATTTTAAGAGCACTTGATGTGACTCATCTAATAGTATATATATTAATATTTTTTTAATGGTAGGAATTAGTTTAAAACATAGTTTTAATAATTTGGACTGTTCGGTTCAGGTAGTTCTAGGAGTTCATTGGAGAAGAAATAGCCATTAACCACTACATGAATGTTTTACCTTAATGTTCTGTGTATCTTACACTGCAGATTTAATATCATTGTGACTGTAACGTGTCTTAGTATCTGCCGCTCTTTGTGTTGCATAGTCAAACTTGCTTTGTTCAAGAGCATTTTTAAAGGCGTATTTTTTTGTTACAGAAAATGAAAAGAGAAATGTTATTACAGATGTCTGCCTGTAGCTCGCTCACTGCTTACAAAATCCACCGACTGGTAGCAGAGTCAAACAGAGCAAGCAAATTAGAGGCTTTCCTATTTGTGCATGCTGTGCTGTGGAGGAAAAACCTTGCACAGAATTGCAGCTTCTTTACTCCAACCACAGCGCTGTCACTGGAGATTACATTTGAGAAGCCAGAAGTTGGTGTGCCATGCTTGCCTGCAGAATTGTCAGAAATACATAGATAGCTTTGTATTTGTTGCGTTTTTTTGTTGTTTTTTCCCCCATGGAAGATGTGGAGATGACTGCAAACACTTGTTTAGCACACTAACTTGTGTTATCCTAATGCTTATCCTAAGCGCAGACTTGTAGAAGTCTATAAGCACTAATGAAGCTTGAACACACAGGCATTAATGCATTTGAACGTTTTGTTCGTAACAGTTCCCTCCAATTCACTGTACGTGGTATAATCTCTGCAGGGTGGCAGGCTATGGTTTTCATTAAGGGTTTTTTCTTCTGTTAGATGAGTTTCTGCTGCTGCAGTTTTTGTGTGAGGAGTTATCAGGACCATGCGTTTTGTGCAATTGCTTGTACTTTGTTTAAAAATGTTTAAGAAAATTTGTCATTGTGACCAAAGCTTCTTTTTAAGAAAAAATTGGTAAGACTAGTTTGAATGGACTTCTGATGTTTCAGCAGAAACTGCCATCATTAAACATGTTCTTGAAATCCCCCTTGTGTCGTGTGTTATGTTTAGGGAGGGAATAGGAAAGGGGCTGTTGCTTGTGGAAGCTTGGTGAATCCGAGAGCCTTGTGTGATCCCTCGTTAGAGGGCTGCGCGTTCCTGCAGTGCAAATCCCTTTGTCCTGTGATCTTGAGCCAGAGTGTGACAAGGGGAGAAACTGGTTTTAGCAGCATGGAAGAGGAATATGTTTAATCACGCAAAGTCCGCATCAAGAAGCTAGGCTTATGCCTGGATTCAAAGGGCAAAACACTCTGCAATAGGGAAGCTATCTCAGTACATTCAACTACAACCGTGTTCAGTACCTTAGAGCCCACAAACTGCAGACCTGTTGTCCCAGACTCCAAGCCCAGCTGAGCGAACCAAGCCACATCCCCTCCCCGGGGTGGCCAGGCCACGCCACAGCTGTTAAACAGACTTCCTTCCACTTCAGTCTTGCTTGACCAAGTTCCCTGTCTCTGAAGCGATTTTGCCATGTGGCTTTCAGGGCATGGTGAGATGCTGAAGTGCTAGAGATAAGGAACAGGGCAATCTGAGGCTTGCTTGTTTGTCGTGCACATTTTAGCAGTACTCTGAAGACTGTTTCCCTCTTATGCTATTTTCACATGAAGTGCAGACACTCCTAGACCCTGGAGCAGCTACAGGACAGACAGAGCCAGTAGCCTGTGCATGAAACAGCTCTGCTGCTCTCCTCTCCCACATAACACGATTGCTCCTGCCTTGATGTCTTCATCTCTTCAGTAATAGTCTTGAGAGTAATCCAGTGCTGCAGACACAAAGCAGCTGCTGTCCAGCCGGTGCTTTTTAAATTATGTCCTGCCAGCAAAGTAAAGCCTGATCTAATTCAAAATACTTAACAAAATGCTGTCAGGCTTCAGGCGTGAGCCAGCTGTTGTGCAGCAAAGGTGGTTTGTGTAGGAAGTTCAAGACCCATCAAGGTGAGCCACAGCCTGAGCTGTGGCTGAATAGGACAGGCTCCCCTTAGCATAGGCTGCAGAAGTGAAGATGCCATGTAATGGAAAGGCAGCAGCTGCAATCTCTGGGTGTACTTACCTTTCTGATGAGATCTCAAGTGGAAGATAAGCAAATGATCAAAAATCTGGTGTAAATTATTAGCTAAGTAAGAGCTGAAAAGCTAGAGATGATTGCAGATAGGGCTCTGGGCAGAAAGGCCGAGGCTCAGTTTAGCCCTTCCTGAATTTTGACATGGGTGAAGCCTGAAGCTACAACTAAGTTCTTGCACAGCAAAGATTTTCTCAGACAAGTCTTCAGATATTTTTTTTTAATGGATCCTATTAAAGGGTTATTTCTGCAATATCTAGAAGAGTTCTGCATGGGCCAGAGTATAACGCGACTTCCCCTCTCTCCTGTATGTGGCTGTTGCCACCTTCGTACAAGCTGCTCCTCTTATTAGCAAGTCACAAGTGTGAGGTTAACTGAACAGAGCTGTCAAATACACATTTATAACCCTGGGAAAGGGAGGGGTGCCTTTCCTGTGTCCCTTACTGTCGGTGATCTTTGGATGCCTTGATATTGATAACTGCAAAATTGTCAGCGATGTTTGGCAAGTGCTATCAGAGAGACGTTAGCTTAACACTGAGATGATTTGAATTATGGCTGACAACGAGCTCTGTTAAGGGTATGAAACAGGAATAGCGCTAATTGCTTAAGACCAAGTAGTCTGTAACTAGGCTGCACAAAAACATCATTGAAGATAGTTCATCTCCCTATCAGCGGGCAATTACCAATTTCTAAGAGACCAGAAACTCTTCTCGCTCTAGTTTCTAACAAGCATCTACTCCTCTGAGCTCAGCCAACTAAGCTCCCGGCTGGCTCACTTCTCTCGTGACCGCTTGTTCATGGCATCTTAAATGAGCTGAATATAATTCAAAACAGCACTTTTATCTCATGAAAAACAACTCTTCAGTTCAAGAAAGCAGTATGGAAGGGATGGCCATTGCTTTTAAAGCTAAGAAGGAAAGGATCTTAAAAATCCAGATGCAGTTCTTGGTGGCTTATGAGGCATAGAGCTGGTTTCTAGGCTTTTCGCTCCCCTCCTGCTGGTTTCTCATAAGCCACCTTGCTCACTCGCGTCCCTCCATGCTGGGGGACTGGCAGCACGTGGGAGCCCAGCACCCCCCAGCTCCAGGGGGAGAACCTGCTTAGGCTGCAGGCGGACGAGGCGGGGGAGACAGATCCTGAGGGGCTTGAACAGCTGCTTCGCAGCTTCAACCAGCATGTTCAGGCTCTGTTTTGGAAGAAATTACAATCTGAAATGCCAGCCTTCAAAGGCTGCCAGCCCTGACTTGAGAATACTACTAGTTGTTGCCTGTCGCTGCCGACTCCATCCCTCCCCATGATGGAGGGGACCCACTGATTTGCACATGAAGCAAGGGCTAGGACTCCCTGGCCAGGGTTTCAGCGCTGTACTGTGCGGATGGGGGACTGTTGGTTTGAAAGATGAAGAGGGATAAAGATTAGATGACCTACTGCACCGTTTCAGCCAGGTCAATTTATTTTAAGGCTTTTATATGAAGGGTAACATATATCATTTACATAAAGCTCTTCCTGACTCCTCTGGCTCTTTCTAAATAATTTAATCCAATGTACATGTTGTTATTCTGGCCTAGCAGCAGTTTAGCAACAGATACCTGCTCAGGACCTTTACCAATTCCAAAACCCAAATGAGCCAGTTTGGCCATCTGTTCTGACCTGCATTAGGCAGCACAGAGCATCCTTGGGGATTCCTCCACCAAGTCTAAAAGCCAGTGAAATAGCTGTGGCAGCACTCCCACTTACACACAGGCGGGAGAGCGACTCGCTCCGGGCTATAGGACCACAGAAGCCAAAACTCTCTCCTCCAGACTTGCTGGCCCTGCTCACAATAAATCCTCAGCTGCGAGTTTCAGGTGTGCATTTCTTGCCAGGTAACAAGGCTGTTAAAGGGATACAAGGGGGCCCGGGTTGATGTGGCTGGTCCTCATCAGCTCTGATGCCGGCCCAGAATAATCACTGCACTGCTGCTGAGCAAAAATTAAAAAAATGTTTCAAAGCATCATCAGTTCCTTGAGGCATCACTTTGAAAACCTTTGCCTCTCCCTTCAGCTGTTTTTACCCCCCTCCATGAGTTTTCAGACTGCCTCTGCCCCGATACAAACATATTTAGCTGAAGAGAAGCTCTTCTTTACAGACACTTTTCTCTTCTCCTGCCCTCAATTCATAAAGGTTTAAGCTCAGGTCACGAACATTTGATATTTCCCCACTTCATTTCTGCCTGGCTGTCAGCAGAGTTCTCTCCGTTGTGCCTTTTGGACAGCGTCTGAAATTACCCAGCTCTCTCCCGCTCCTGCGTAAGGACTCCTACAGTACAGATCCCGGTGGCATCAAGATGGTTCTCAGGTAAACAGAAAAAACGGTCTATTTAGGCAATTTCTACTGTTTCCTTTCCTTGATCTGATAAATTTTTTTGTTGGGTCGGACCAATTGCTCTTGTTGATGGTGAAGTAATGCTATCAAAGCTCAGGACGAGAATAATGTTGATAACGCACCGATGTTTTAGTTGTTGCTAGGTAGTGCTCACACTAGCCAAGGACTTTTTAGTTTCCCATGCTCTACCGACTGAGAAGGCTGGGGGTGCACAAGAAGCTGGGGGGGGCACAGCCAAACTGGCCAGAGGGACATTCCATACCATGTGGCATCATGCTCAGTACATAAACTGGGGAAAGCTGGCCGGGGGGGGCTGCTGCTCGGGGACTGGCTGGGCATCGGGGACTGGCGGGTGGTGAGCGATTGTACTGTGCATCACTTGCTCTGTGTATTATTACATTATTATTATTATTATTATATTATTTCAATTATTAAACTGTTTTTGTCTCAACCCACAAGTTTTTCTCACTTCTGCTCTTCCAATTCTCTCCCCCATCCCACTGGGGGGGGGGGGGGGGGGGAGGGGGGGGGTGAGCGAGCGGCTGTGTGGAACTCAGTTGCCGACTGAGGTTAAACCACAACACTCTGATATTTCTGCCACCAACTTCACAGTTACCTTACTCCCATCCCCAACTGGTGTGGGTTACCTGCAGCTACAGATTAGCAATGCCCTTGTGGATAAAGCTACGGCGAAGGAGAAATAAGGCTGTTTCTTTTGGAGTAACGAGACAAAATATTGTTGCAACAGCCTACTGACAAGGATGGGTCTTGCTAGAAAAGCAGTCATTGTCCAGAGCACTCCTGAGATCCTCGGGACCCACTAATCCCCAAGGCTGACTCAGCGACACAAACCCTCCAGCTAATAAAATCCACATGCCCAGCCTGTACAGCAGCAATGAATATCCATCCCCCAGCACAGGTCAAACGTTTGGCACTCCAGGCTCTAACCCTGTCCTTAAAACCACCCTATGCTTGGGTACGGAGTGGGCAGGTGCGGAATGCAGAGGCTGTGCTACACCGTAAATCAAAACACTCCGAGGTGACATTCGCCGCGGTCTGTGCACAGCAAAGCGCGTGGCCCCAGGTCACCCAGGCACGCTCGCTTCTCCTCTTGCACGGCCATGGCCCACCCTTTGGTGGTACTGCGTGGTAACGAGCAAACTTCCGCGTGACTTAATTCAAGGTTCCAGTCTGAGCTCCTGTAGTTGAGAGCCGGGTCTATTTAAGTGGTATTAGCATTCCTGAAGCTTGCTAAGCTTAAATAAAACAATAATACCACTCAGGATACTTACAGACAGGGTGAGGTTTTTGCTGAAGAGCTGCTACTTAATGAGCTGTTCAGACAACCAACTTTCTCTGTCCCTCTGAGTACATGTAATATTTTTAAAATCACATATTTGCAGTGCATTGTTTGCTACTGTTCAAGGAAATAAATGATTTGCTTTTAACGTAATCACTATCAGAAGTAAATTATTCAACATTTGCTGCTTGGAAGTTAAAAAGGGAACCTGAATTTCTTTTTAGTTTCTTCCTCTTTTTTATAATAGATATACAAGCTGCA